CTCTCGGTGCTCTCTCTCTCTCTCTCTCTCTCTCGTCTCTCTCTCTCTCTCTCTCTCTCTTCTCTCTCTCTCTCCTCCTCTCTCTCTTCTCTCTCTCTCTTTCTCTCTCTCTTTCTCTCTCTCTCTTCTCTTCTCTCTCTTTCTCTCTCTCTCTCTCTCTCTCTCTCTCTCTCTCTCCGCTCTCTCTTCTCTCTCTCTCTCCTCTGCATCTCTCCCCTCTCCTCTCTCTCTCTCTCTCCCTGCCGCCTCTCTCCTCTACCTCTCTCCTCTCTCTCTCTCCCTCTCCTCTCCTGCTCTTCCTCCTTCCCTGCTCCCTGTCCACCTCTTTCCCTCCTTCCCCCCCTCCCCCCTCCCCCCCTCCCTCTCTGTCTCCTCTCTCCTCTCTCCTTCCCTCCTCCTTCTTCCTCCCCCTCTCCCTCTCTTTTGTAGCAAATTTGGTCTCTGTGACTGTCAGATAGTTACTGAATTTAAGCTCATTACTTTTCATTCACACTAAAACAGGAGAGGAAAAACAGACAGTCTTTATACAAACTTTTATGAATGGGACTATGTAGCTTTTGCAACATTTTTGTAGGTTTGCTCCAATGGAACGCGAGTGTTTGTTCATAGAAGTATTGCTGCCGAGTTCCTCAAACAACTTGTAACTGCAACTGAAAAGCTGAAGATTGGTGACCCCTTTGCTGAAGACACAACTGTGGGGGCAACCATCCATGAGGACCATGCTAGAAAAGTGTTGAGTTACGTTGACAGTGCCAGGCAAGAGGTAAGGCAGGGAAAATGATAAAATATGACTGAAACTTGTTAAGATATTTTGGTAATGTGGAAAGGTGTGAATGAGAAGGATTATCTTCACAATACAAGAGATGTATTTAACCGGTTTCGATTACATCTTCGTCGGAAATACATGTATTCATATTCATGTATTTCTGACGAAGATTGTGAAGATATTCGTTCTCATTCATACCTTCCTGCATTTGTCAACATTTATCACTAAACCTTTTTATGCATGCTTTTGGCAGTGGTTATTTAATTTTGTCTGTCAACTTTTTCAGGGTGCAACTGTTTTGTGTGGAGGAGAAAGGGTATTGCTGAAGGGAAAGTTGGCTGGAGGATGGTACCTTTCACCTGCAGTCCTTACAGATTGCCGAGATGATATGAAGGTAAGCGCTGCTGACTGAAACGGCAGTATATGTTTTCTGTTTTTTTTTTTTTTTTTTTTTTTTTTTTTTTTTTTTTTTTATGGGATACATCCTTTGTCTCTCTCTGTCACTATAAATGTAGTCAGGGTAGCATATAAAGACTACAAAGAGCTACTGCCTCAGTAATGTGAGATAACTGATATTCTTTCTAACTGAAATTAATTGTGGAAAAATGAAATAGATAACATACCAACCACTCAGACAAATGTAATATATTATGCATGCACATTATACACATGTATCACACATACTAATTTTTCTGCTTACTGATAAGAAATTCTTTTTTATAGGTAGTGCAAGAGGAAGTTTTTGGCTCTGTTGCCTCCGTGCTAGAGTTTGATACTGAAGAAGAAGCCGTTAAGAGAGCAAATGATACGAAGTTTGGACTAGCTGGTGCTGTTTTTACAAAGTGAGGAAGGAACAAGTGTTGCTGAATGTGAAATTAACATTATCCCTTACATTAATTTTATGATTTTCTATAAGGAATCTTCTTAACTGGAATTATAAGAAGAAGGGGACTTATACTTACATGCTAATTACATGCTTGTACTTCTCTTCCACAGGGACATTCAAAGGGGACACCGAGTAGCTAACGCCATTGAAGCAGGAACTGTCTGGATTAATACCTACAACTTATATCCAACTGAGGTTCCCTTTGGTGGTTACAAACAGAGTGGAATTGGCCGAGAAAATGGGTTAACAGCTGTTGATTACTTTACGCAGACACGCACCATCTATGTAGAAATGGGTGATGTTGACTGCGGATTACTTTACCAGGATTAGAGTAGTCTATTTTCATTATATGCTGATAGATTGAAAGGCCACATATATTTTGTGCTGTTTTGTTATAAAATCTATATGAAATATTTTTATACTTTCATAGATGTATACAGTATAGTTTAAGATTAAAGTGAACCTTGTATCTCATACTTTTTCTTCATTTATTTTCATTTATGTATAAAGAAAATAAGTGAAAATCAGTTAGAAATTTAGTAATAAATCATGTGCCATATTTTAGTGTAATTTACAAAAATGAATTAAGGAGAAAGTCTGGATATCACTGCTAAGGTGAAAGCTCAGTGGTGAGGAATATGTCCGAGAAATGGAGTTAAATTTTTCAACGTGCAATAAGGGAGATACTTGTGAAAATATCAGATTTTAACCGAAAGTGGATGTGGGTCTGTGTGTAATCGGTACTGACAGTAGGATAAGGGTTGGATTAGACTGCATTCGTCTTTTGTCAAGACTGAATATTAGTCTTGTTTGTTATGGGTTTTCTCAGTATATTTGACATTCCTTTT